TGGACGGCACGACGGCGCGATAGCGCAAAAAAATATTCTTCACAGCCAGGCGTGGTAAGGGCTGCTAACAAACGCTCGCTAAACAAATCAGCCCGACGACGGCTGCGCACGGATGGGCATGAAATGGCTCGGAAAACATGGCCCAGCAGGCCAACTGGCGAAGGCAAGTGATTAAAAGCACAGGAACGGGTAAACAATATCAAAACGGCGTTAGGCACCACACGAAAATAATGCGCACACAAAACGCGGCACCACGCAGCAGTGCCGGGCGCTCTGAGCACAGAGACCAGACGCCCTCGACACCAGGTCCTCTGAGAACAGACCCACCCGGCGCCAGACCCGCTGAGAACAGGCCGCCGGCACCAGGCCCCCTGAGAACAGACCGGTCCAGCACCAGACCCAGCTGTGGAACGCGCCGCCAGCCCAGCGTCGGCCCGGGCGCCTCCCGCACGCTAGAGACCACCGGAAGATTTCCATCCGGGCCGACCTCCGGAGTGGGTCCCGTGTGGGGGGGGGGGGGGGCTCCGCACCGACGCCTGACGGGCTTTGCTAGGCGTGACTGGTAATTGCTGCGACGGACTTTATTTGGTCCGCCGAGCCGGTGGCTATCTGTTTCGTCGTGCGCATTTGCTGACACAGAGTGACACCAGATCTCGAGATATTTTTGCAGTCCGTTTCCACGCAACGACGCCTACTCATATCCAGCACCTATTCGCCAAAAGGCCATACTTGTCTGCGGGAACCAGCCTGGAACCTGCCAGGCGGTGCGCGTCGCGCCGCGCTCACCTCTGCTTGAGGTTGGCTTGCCTGCCCTCTTCGATGACGCGGTGCACGACATCCGGCTGCAGGGTGGGGAACACCGGCTGGTGGATGCGCCGGAACGAGCCCTCGGTGGGGCGCGGGATCTTCTCCACGTACGGCTGCTGGCTGGGGCTCTCGTTGTTGTAGAGATGCTGCGCCAGCTCCTGGAGAGCCGAGCGGTCGACGGTCAGCCGGTCACGTGTCATGCCCCCTCCACCGCGGGTGCTGCGTGAAGAGGAGATCCGTCCGACCCAAGGACGTCCGTCCACGTCACGTGCTGTGACGCGGCGGGAGTGTGTCGTGGTCATCGTCAGAGAACTCGGCGACAGTGCTGGTGGCGGCTCCCAGGCCCGGCTTCGGTCGGGGAGCGCCTCAGCTAGACTTCAGCTCTCCGGTCCCTCACGTGGACGGCCTCACGACCGCACTGTGGTGATTACAACGGTGTATGTACGCGGCGCCGACAGACACGCGGTGGACGACACATGAGTCACCACCGGCAGCAATGCTAAGAAAACAGGCGTAGGTCTAACCTCATGCTGGGCAGCTGATCCAACACTGCTAACGCTCACGCCGTTACAGCCCAGGCCTTCAACCAAACGCCGTCCCCTAACAAAACAATCAGAGTAAATAACCAAACAAACCAAGCGCACCCGACGCGCCTCTGACATCACGTCCCAGGCCTCCAGTCAAGAGCCCCCAGCGGGATCGCCCGCCACTGTTCACGGCCTGACCGGCCGTCCGGGGGCGGGCGCGGCCGCGTACCTGCAGGTGGGCGACGGTGAGCGAGCGGTCGCCGGCCTCCTGGCGGACCTGGTCGGCGATGCCACAGTACACCTCGTCGAAGATGTCACACGGTCGCCACGGCGGGCCGCGCTCCGTGATGAACGCCGTGAAGAACATGCAGTCAAGCAGGCGGGCGGTGAACGCGCAGTCGACCAGGGACCGCTGGCCCAGGAAAGACGCCTGCCGACCGGCGGCGCAGGCGTCAGACGAGACAGGCGCGGCGCACAAGACAGACGCGACGCGGCGCACGAGCGACGCCTGCATGGCTGAGCACGCGCGGACACGGACCGAAGCGGGGCGGGGTGCCGGTGACGTCACAGCCTCGGAGGACGGTCTCCTGACAGGTGGCGGAGGCACCGCCGCCCCGGTACGTCAGCGGCAGCTGCGGTACAGCCGAGACCGGCACCAGCGTGACGCGACCGGACCGCACAGCGCGGCGGGACGCTGAGCCTGGGGAGGGACGCGCCGCCTGCAGCTGACGGCTTACCAGGCGCCTGGCTGTTATGTACACCTCCACAGCTGGAGCGTCACCCTCGCCAATGAGTTCGCTATAATCCGGAGCGGGCGCTTTAAACCACAAGCGGGCAATACAAGTACAAATGCGACACTCTCTCGAGCGCGCCGGGACCCGAGCGGCAGCCAGACAGCGGGCGCCTTGTTCGCCGCCAGGCGTCTCCACGTCTGCTGTTTACCTTGTGGAAGGTGATGACCGGCGACGGGTGTATGCGGATGAGGGTCAGGCAGTTGCGGTAGCCCTGCAGCAGCTGAGCGAACGCAGGAACACGGCCCGGATCTCCTTGTCCAGGATCTGGCGGTGACAGCGCTTCGCTTACCAGACACGCTTCCGCAGCACGAGAGCGGTGCGGTGCGATAGCGGGAACTGCAACAGCATCCGTCATAAAGTATGTGCACTGTGACAGCACACCACCCATGACACATGCACGACCCATTTCCGTCGTTGCTGCAACACGCCCGCCCCCAGTGCGACATCCCCGGAACCGATTCGCAACAGCTACTGTGTATGGTTCCAAAGCAGACGGGTCAGCGGCCAGTCGGCCTGCGCCGCCTGCCCGGCCACAGCCTCCGGGGGGGGGGTCGGAACACGTACCAGCGGGGGCGAGGGCCCGCACCGGCGAGGGGAATGCGTGGTCGGAGCGGTGCAGGTCCGCGGTGCAGCACCTGCGACAGGATGTGCAGCGCCACAGAGCGCACGGGTCGGCGAGCTGCGGATCACGCACGACTCCGCACGCTCACGCTGGCCGCCGTCCAGGTCTGGCCACGATCACGTCCATCTGCCGGCACAGGGGCGGCGGCGGTCAGCCGCCCCGGCAGCCGAGTCGTGCCGCACGGCTAAGGTCCGACTGGCTGCCGCGGAAAGAACACGCGCATGTCTGTCACGCTCGCGGCTAGACCACGGACAAGCCCGGTGTCTGACGGGCCGCGTGCGGCCGGCCAGCGGCAGTCGGCACCGAACGGCAACTTCTCCATGCGCTGTGTAAGCTTCACGCGTACGCCTGCCCACCGCTGGTGACAAGACATACGTCGCCCTCATGTCTACAACAGCTAACATCAGCAGGCAAGACAAACACCACGACCACGGCGCCGGGGGAAGCCCCGCCCGGCGCCTGCACATGGCGCGGTCTGCGACGCCAGTGAAGCCAGGGCCTGCCGTCCAGCGCCGGCTGGCCGCCGCGCCGACAGCCTCACCAGGTCGGGCAGGTTACGCAGCGCCGACGAGTGCGCGCCATCATGAACGGCGTGGGCGTGTTGGCCACCTCCAGCAGCAGGGTCGGCAGCACCGGGATGTACACGTAGCTGGGGGACGGCGTCGCGCGCGTCAGGCGGCGGCGGCCACGGCCCGGGCGCATTGCGTTAGACGGGCTGGGGACTGAGCACCCGTGACCCGAGGTGGCGCGGCCGTTACACACGTGAGGGGCGCACACCACGAGGCCCGGGGCTGAGTGAGGCACGTCGCGGAATAGCACCATCCATCAGGGGGCCAGTTACACACGCTGGCGCGCTGCGAGCACCCAGCGCCCGCGCGACCTGTGGCCGTGACAACGCCGAGGTGCGGAGCGCAAAATCAGTATAACTGGTTCAGTTCACGCGAAACGGTACCTCAACTGCATTATCGGTAACCACTAACCACCAATGCAGCCAGCGTTGCAAAATCTATACCAGGCGTCGCGTCGGACCCGCTCGCCCGGTGACACCGGAATGGCAGCCCCGAGCAAACTAGCTGACCACAATAAACACCGCACTTTTCTCAACTGACTGAAACGCCCAGGCATCTGGGCGGCATTTCCGACGTGAACACCACAGTACACCACCCCGCCTCGACCACGCAAAACCCACCCTGGCCCGCCGTCCCCCATCCCCTTGCCTCTGGGGGAACCCCGCCCAACCAGTCCAGGCGGCCGCCAAGGCCAGCAGCGCACGGCGCGTCATGGCGTCCGGCGCGCGCGCGCGTACCTGTACTTGAAGGGTACATGAGAGGTGAGCGTACCTGTACTTGAAGGGGCACATGACACAAGTGAGCATACCGGTACCTGGAGGGGTACATCAGAGAGGTGCGCGTACCTGTACATAAAAGGGCACACAAGAGAGGTGAACGTACCTGTACCTTGAAGGGGTACATGAGAAGGGTGAGCGTACCTGTACTTGAAGGGGTACATGAGAGAGGTGAGCGCGTGGAAGGCCTCCGTCAGCCGCGAGTACGAGCACGAGTGCATCAGGATCTTGTGCTCCTGTCATAGCCGCGCAGAACAGCGTCATCACGTTCTTGATACCTGTCGGCGGCGGCCACACGTGAAGACCGGCCGCTTCGCACGCGTCGGTGCCCGGCGCGCTCGCCATGGTGCACATGGCACGCGCAGCGACCGCCGGACGGCATCATTCGGAGATCAGGGAGCATCCACCTGGGCGGATATGTGGTACCAGCTGTGACACGTCACGACGTGACCTGCATTCTATCTTTGGTTATCGCGAATCTTTGCCGAGCCTCGCGGCTGAGGATGCCGGCAAAGAAACAGTCAGTCAGTCGCATTCTAGTTTGCGCGGGCTGGTCGAACAGGCACGCATCCATCATTGTCAGGGTATCGTCGGGGTCCTGATAACAGGTGCAGTCTGCCAGTGGCCGTCTGCAGCAAAACCATTGTACAAGGCAGGTGATGACGCAGGATTTGCACAGAGAAAAGGGGGAAGAGCTCCCACTATCAGCATTTTTACTGCCCACTTTACAAGCTTGACGATCGTAAAGTGACCTACAATAAAAGCCCGTCAGCTGTATGCTCTTCACCTTTACAATGTTACACAACATGGCGCAAACTTCAATCTAAAACCTCTACATCCACCCATTGGAGTAAACAGGTAGACCAGTAGCAGCCCCGCCCGCGTACCCACCGTCGGCCGGTACAACGGCGTGCACCGCAAGGTCCCACCCAGCTCCCGTCCTTGGCGAGCCATTAACGTATGCTGATATATCAGAAACAAACACAGTTCAAAGCCTTGCCGAGCAGGATTGACGAGCAGAAACATCGTTTAAAGTCCATCCCATAATCTCTTCCGGAAGGGTAATTTATATCCGAGTGGCCTCGCTCATGTGCAGATAGGATCAGATGGTAATGTATCTAGGCACTCTCCGCCTACAGTCAATGCGACACTGAAGTGACGCAACGACTTCGGTGCTGCTTTGCTCGAAATGGTAATACCGTATGTCCCATAGCCTGCACAATGAGATATGAATAGCTCATTAAAATAGGGCGCGAAAACTGACGATAGGCCACGTTATCGCCTCGGGACATGTGGTTGATGATGCGTGCCACGCGCACACGTGCCAGACGCGTCACCGATGTGTGGCACAGCCGGTTGGCAACAATCGGCGTGACCAGATGGCCACGAGAGCATCTCCTTCCATTGAGTGTCGTTGCCTAAGCCGGGATATTCCAGCCCGCATGTGGCACATCCGCCGCCGCTTCAGGCAGACACGGACCCGAGGCCGCCCACACGCCACACATCGCCGGAAGCGTCCACCTCGGACGGCTCGACGCCACCCCCGGTCACGGAAGTCGGCCGTGGGCGGCCCCTGACCGCCGTCCACGCGACAGAGCGCGTCGCCGGCCACCCGCACGCCGGCGGCCGCCGCCGCCTGCGCCGCGCTCACCGAGCTGGCCGAACAGCTGCGCCACGGCCGTGCCTGTCGTGGGGATGGTCGGCGAGAGCGGCGGCTGCAGCGCCTGCCGGTCTCCGGCGCCGATGCTGAACCGCACCTGGGGCCCGCCCGGAGGCGGCACCTGGGCAAACGCGCCGGCACGCCGTCAGCCGCCGCCGCGCCGGGGAGCGCCAGCGCCGCAGCCGGGCGACGCCGAGATACAACAAAACGGCCGGAGACGCGCCGGGCGTCGGGCTAGTTATGGGTGGTAGGCTGACTGGCATGTGGCGGGAGGTGGCGAGGTATCCTGCTCCCTGAACAGTCACAATAGTCGAATCTCTCGCGATAACTGGAGGCATTAGAACCCTCGAGGAGTGGAAATCTACACATACCAGCACTCCATCGATTACTTCAAACCATGACAGATAAGGTGGCGCTAGTCAGTAGTGAACACATTGCAAACATTGCAAACACTCCCGACACGTCCGTGTTCATATATCTCAACCAACGACAAAAGCAATCCAGCACTGCAGAACGCATCAAACCGACGCCCGCGCCACAACCACCACAGGCTTCGAGCGACGGCGAGCCGCAGCACACGCGCCCGGCAGGGTCCCGCCCCGGAGCGTGCACGTGCCGTGCCGCGCCGCGCCGCCCGGCGGGCCGCCTGACCTGCACACAGCCCAGGATGTTGCCGACCAGCGCCTCCAGGTCCACGCCGAGGTTGTCCGTGTACACGGCGTACAGGATGCCCAGGCAGTTCTGCGACGGATCGGCTGGCGGTTAGCGCGAACTGGCACACGACCGGTCTGACACGAGACGCCAAGGCTTCATGCCACACGTAGCGCGGGGAAAATGCCCCCAGGAAGTCACACAGCGTAGAAAACAGCGTATGAGCAAGCAATAATGGCCGAGCCGTCGCTTCGTCGAAACACCAAATCACGTGCGATGGGGATACAGATGGTGATACCTCAGTTGGACTCGGACATATGCTACACGGCAATATGGTCGCATGCCACTCTCCACACTCACAGCCATTTACGCTACCCACCGGCGCCGCATTGCAAGAAGTGGCTGCGTCCCGGACGTCCTAGCTTTCCTCGTGCTGAGCTTAACGGAAGTCTATTCATAGTTATCCTACACCCGCCACCTTCCGCGCACTGGCCATCATCGTGTCCCACTGTCCGCTCATGGCGCCGCGGCGTAGATAGAGCGTTGGGACGGCCCGCAGCGCTGGACCGGCGTCCGGCCTGACGCCGCAGCCGCGTGAGTCCGTCCGTTCCGGCTGCTAGCAAGCGGCCAGCGCCGGGGCTGCAGCGGCGCCGCTGGGCGCCGCGCCGGTCAGTCAGCTCACATCGCAGCGGCCAGGGTCAGCAGGGTCAGCGGCGACGGGCGGCCGGCGCCGGCCGCAGCTCATCTGGGCGCGCCGCCGCCGCCGCTGCCGCCGCCGCCGCGCCAGGGCCGCCGGCAGCGCGTCCGAGCCGTCAGTCAGTCAGTCGACAGTTTGTCCCAGCGCGCTGGCGTTCGGCGCCGCTGGCAACCAGCCGTCTGCTCGCTCCGTGTCGCTCGCGGACCGCCCGATCCTGGAGCGGCGGCCACAGCGGGGCGGCAGCCGCGGCGCACTCCTGAAAGTGACGAAGTCCTCGGGTCCTCACCCTGAAAGTGACGAAGTAGTCGAGCCGGGAGACGAGCACCAGCGCCTTGGGTGCGTACATGACGCTGTGGTGGGTGATGGTCGGCAGACGCTGCAGGCCGTTTCGCTCGCCGCTGAACGTCTCCTCCTCCTGTGGCGATCGCATCGGGTCAGACCACGAAACGGAGCGCAGCACAGCACAGCGTCAGGTGGGACACAGCACAGCGTCACATGGGACACAGCACAGCGTCAGGTGGGGCACAGCAGAGCGTAGGTGGGACACAGCACAGCGTCACATGGGACACAGCACAGCGTCAGGTGGGGCACAGCACAGCGTACATGGGACACAGCACAGCGTCACATGGGACACAGCACAGCGTCAGGTGGGACACAGCACCTCGTGCGATGGGACACAGTACAACGTCGGGTGGGACACAGCACTGTGTCCGATGGGATACAGCACAGCGTCAGGTGGGACACAGCACCGCATGCGATGGGACGCAGAACCGTGTGCGATGGGGCACAGCACAACGTCGGGTGGGACACAGCACAGCGTCGGGCGGGACACAGCACAGCATCAGAGGGAACACAGCAAACGCACAGCGCTAGGTGAGACAGAGCAAGCGCACAGACCAGGCGCACGGAGCACGCACCTTGCCGCAGTTTGGCAGCAGCATCTCAGTCCGTGACACAACACAAATACAAAACCCCATCCGGCGACACCACCTCACATTCCATTTGTACCTGGAACAGCAGTGTGAGGCCACCG